AACTAAAAAGCATTTACGTTTAATGTTTATAATCATATCTTATAATATGCACAGTTTTGTACTATAAAATGCAACATTTATACAGAAGGACCCGATAACTTTAGTACTAAAAAAGTAAAAGGCAATTAGTTAAAAGCATGGATAATCACTCTGAAAAAGTGAAAGTCTTCAAGAACGGTATCTCTACTTGATTAAAACTGCTTTGAGCTAAAAGTTCAGTTCAGCCCCTGCGTTAACCCAAGTTGCATAAAAAAGGAACTGAAGTATAAGAGAAGAAATCCACCGAATAAAAGCGACAGAGTCATGTCTGAAAGGCAAGGTTTGTACACGTATATAAAGATCGAAATACTTAACTGTAGCAAACTGCTTGCAACCTGGACCCCATTTCACGCTGAATAAGTTGATTGATAGAATTTATTTTTAAACTACACCAAACACAATTTTCAACCTCTGGGGGTGGGGTGAGTGTGGTTAATAATTAAGGGGGAGGGGATACTATTAAAGCCTTACCCCCAAATTACACGACAATCAGTTTGAAACTAGTTGCCAGACTTTTAACAACACGAACAAATGGACACACCACAACCCTAGCAAAAAAATAAAAATAAAAATAAAAATAAACTAATAAGGCTGTGTCTCGTTTTCGGCCAAAGCGTTGAAGACGTATCGCAGGGCGACAAAACACCATTGGAGCAATTTTCCCCAAGTCAAGAAAAGTTGACGGAGTTGAGTTCTGCCAGTGTGTTTCGGGCAGGTACCTCGGACCCCGCGGCGTCCTCTAAGCGCCACCCCGACCCTCGGGCGCTGGGGGGCTCCGGGTCAAGCTCTCCGCGGCGCACAGGCTGCCTTGAACTCACAGCTTCCGCGCTGGGAAGTGACGGGCGGCCCCTCCCAGCGAGGACTCCGCGCGCCTCCGGAGCGGGAGGTAAAGCGAATCCCCGCTCGGCTGAGCGTCCCGGCCAAGCGAACCGGACGGGGCCCGGCGCCCCCCGCCCAGCCCCGGCCGCCGCCGGCCCCGTGCCCTCGGGGCGGAGGCGGACGGCCGCCCGCAGCAGAGGCGCAAACTTTTACACCTACTTTTTGTTTCGCTTCGGGTCTGGCGTGGCTCGGGCACCGCCCTGGACCCGGACCCAGACACTGATTTTCCACCGCCTAGGGACGGTGCCTCCCGCGCCCCGAGGTCCAACCAGCTTTTCGGAGAACTAAGTTCTCACCCTGCTTGCTAAAAGTGTGGTCCCCGAGAGTAGCACGACGCCAATTGCAACAACAATGACAACCACCACCCTAAGCAGAATCTCCTAAATGAGTGGGGCTGCCCAGGCAGGCTGGACGATAGCGCCAGCGGGACTAACTGGGCGCGGGGGTCGGGATTAAAAAGAAAGCCTGGAGCCCGAAGACTCGGGCGAGCCAGAGTAGGCTGTCGGTCGCGGCGTCTTTCTCGCCCGGCGCTCGGGGCGTCTGTCTGTCTGTGACTGACTACTTGTCCCCTCCGCTGCTCAGGCAAAGTTTGACAAATCCGGGGCACGGGGAGCGGATTTCCCCGAGCCCCCCTCCCTTTCCCGCCCCGCGCGCCCCCCTCCCCAGAAATAATCCCAGCAACTGCCGGCCCAGCGTGCAAACTTACGTTTGATCTGCCGAGGTTTGCTCTGCTTTCGCCGGGACATCTCGGCGGCGGCCGCTGCCACTAGGGCTCCCGCGGTGCCCGCGGTCCGGGCTGCCGCTCCCTCGGCTCCCGCCGCTCCCGCCGCCGCCGCTGGCCAGGCTCGGGCCGCCGCGGGCCGGACTCCAGGGGCTCCGGACGCGCGGGATCCGGGCGCTGGGCTCCTCCGGGAGCCGCGGAGCCACGTTTGGAGATGAGCAGGCAAATGAGAAGACAGAGGGGGCCAGAGAGAGTGTGACAGTGGGGAGGGGAGGGGGAGAGTAGAAGAGCGATGGAGGGGGGAGAACAGAATTTACAAACGAATGGACGAGGAGAGAGAAAAGGGGAACACGAAAAGAAGGAAGAGAAGGAGGGAGAGAAGGGAGAGCGAGCAGAGGAGAGAGAGGGGGAGAGAGGGGGCGGAAGGCGCGGGAGGAGGAGCGCGCTCGCTCTCCGCTCTCCCCTCTCCCCGGCGTGCGGGGCAGAGACTCGAGCGCCGCCGCCGCCGCCGCCGCCGCCGCCGCCGCCGCTCCGGGCCGCGCAGCTCGCTCTCTGCCGCGGGAGGTGGCGAGGCGCGGGAGGGAGGGGCGCGCCGGGGCTGCGGGGAGGGGAGACTATTCCATCAGCGAAAGGAGGATTGGCTGCATCCAAAGCCAGTCCGGATGCAAAAGAGGGCCCCGGCCTCGGTCGGGTGGGGTGCACGGGAGCGCGGTGGGGGGCTGGGGGGGCAAGAGGCGTGGGGAGGCTTTGGAGGGGGGCCACCTTCTGCAGTTGTCACCGCGTCAGCTCTGGGCATCTGCCAGAGCACCCCTCCAGGCAACTTCTTCCCACAGCCCCCTCTGATGGACCCCAACTCTCCCCACGCCTCGCCCGTCCAGCGGGGCACAAAGAAATCCCAGTCTCTTCGTAAACTTTGTGCTTCCAGTTATGCCGCCCCCTCCCCTAGTCTCCACCCCCGCCCTTCCAGCTTCTTGGCAGGAAGGTTAGGCCCCTGGCAAAATCCTCGGCGTGAGGCAGCTGATCACAAATGCCAACTGTGTGTCTTGGGGCCAGTTAAGCCCTCTCATCTGCCCGGGCTCTCTAGAGACCATTTCAATGCTCTCAAGGTTCCCAGGAGACCGCTGCGGACGTGGACCATCCCCCACTTAGCCCGCACGGATGGGATGCTGAGCGGTGTCCTCAAAGTGCTCTCTCTCACCTCGAGTTTTCATTTCTAGATTGTAAAAATTCCGAATTTGGAAACAGGCAGATATTTTTTCGTCATATCAAAAAGGAGGACCATTAACTAGGTGATTAGCCCTAGGTGGGAAATGAACCGTCTCTAATCAGAATACTAACTTCTTGAGGAAGTCGGTGGAAGTTCTGAAGTCCCACCCCATCCCATGACCTTTAATTCTTTTTAGTTCTTCTGCCACAGGGAAGCAGCCAGCGACTAATAAAAGATTTGATCTTGCCATAATTTCCCAAGCAGGTAAGACCCAATAACTATTTCATGGTTCTTCAGCTTTTAAAGTTTTGTTTCATTCTTATTCAGTTATTTTGTGTGTAGTATGTTGGAAACTGCAAGCCAAAAGAAGAACAAATTTTGAAGTGATTTGCATAGTTATTATTTGGTCAAGTTAAGCTGCACGAGGCTAGCTTAGTTTCTCATAGTTTCATATATACTGAGTATTAAATATATCCTCCCGGGTGGGCTGAAAGAAGCCTCTATCCAAGTGGCAGTGGAACTGGCCGCTTTATGTAATCAGAATTTACTAATAAACTCCACTGCAGTTGACACCTATCCCCCAGATACTGCTGACTCTTTCCCCCAGGTTGTGAGATCCTCCATTCTGATCTAAAATTGTGCCCCCCTTTGTCTAGTCCACTGGCCATTTCTATGAGCCCCACCAAACTTGATACTCTGAAAGGGTCTGGGGGTCAGCATAGAGCCTGAGCAGATATGCCAGAGCATAATGCCGGCCGCTCAGTGTGCAGGAGGCACTGTAATCAGTGTCATTTATAACCCCATCAGGACATCTTCTGGAAGGTGTAAAGAGTTGCTCTGTGAAAGGTTTGGCTGAGAGAATCTTAACACAGAGCTGAAGACCAATTGTGAATTTTATTACATTACCATTAGTACTATTACCATATGGGGTTGTAAGAATACATGTCCTTTGCAGTGGAAAATGCACTAAATGACAAAGTCCCTCCCCTGAAGAACCAACAAATTAAAGCCGTAAGTACCATGAAAAGCAGGGTTATATGTGTTTGTGTTGTGGAATGAATAAGCAGACAGAGAACTACAGATTTTTGCCTCCTTAATTTTCAATTCATTACAATTAAATTGGTGTGCTTAGAATTGGATGTATTATACATTATGGTTTCTAAAGATATTTTTTACAGAACTGGCTGACTTTTTGTATCAGCCAAAAGGAATGCCCATTGGAATTAAAATATCATAACAGTTAGTGTTTCTTTTGGCATTTGAAATGGTTAAATATGCAAAGCAAAAGAGAAACAAATAAATCTCAGCTAAATATTCCGTTTAAAAGCTGAAAGGAGCAAAAGTCAGGGAATTCAAGGCAAGACTGGTAAAATAACCAGACTGCATTATTAGAAAAATAGTTTATATAAATTTATAAATATATATTAATTATAGCCATTATGAATGAATTAAACTGAGGAATACTATTACAATTTGTGTTTTCTCATCATTTTTAATGAGAATGTTGATGATATTTAAAGTTCAATTTTTCTTTTTCTGGTTTAACTCACTAAGGTTATAAAATTAAAAGACAGCAAAACCTATAAGCAATTATCTCTGTCCAAATGGATATAGCAGGCCCAAACCACAGCTACATGACTATCAAACAATGATTATGAAAACCACAATTGAGAAAAGCATCAGGGAATGATATTGCAAAACCACAGCAACAAATGTATCTGTGATATTGAAAACCACAATTCACAACTAATACCCTGTGTACCGCAAATAACTATTTAACTATAAATGTGAAAATATATAAGTAACAGCAAAAAATAATTTCTCATTTACTTAAAAATGAATTATTCATTTTTTAGACTCACTGATTTCATCTCTACATAATGGTTCATTTTGAAAACTTTCGGCTTTCAAAGACAAATCATTGAAGAATCACATATGTAAGTTACTTTAAACACAGAAAATATGCAACTTTTAATAACATTTCCTTAAATACTAGAAGAATTGATCTGAAACCAATCTGTAATTAAGAAACATTTACCTCAGTCTTTCTCAGGCTTTCTTCATAAAGTTCTTTGGGAGTGAAAGGGGAGGTGAGTGGACACTGCTTATGGAAAAAAAGCTTGAAGTATTCTATTACAACTTCAATGAAAATATAATTGTATATACTCTTAATAGTCCATTTAGCCAAAAACATATATCTGACAATAAAATGAGATGTCATTACCAAAACTACTTTAATATACAAAATCAAAGGTTTATTTACAAGTAAATAAAAATAATATTGTTTGCAGGTTTCTAGGGTCGCCAGATTTCAAAAATTAAAATAGGATGTCCGGATAAATTTGTATTTCAAATAAGCAACTTTTCTTTTTAGTATTAGTCTGTTCCGTGCAACATTTGGTACCTACTCATCTTAAAAGAACAATTGTTCATATCCTGTACTTTATTGCATTTTATGACAAACCTACAAATCTGGCATGTTACCATTTTCACAAATTTATGGTTGTTTTACAAATAACACTCTTTATAGAAAAGGCTAAAAAACCCTAAAGTGCTTCCTACAGACATATATATAATTCTTGAATATCATATTATTTAAGGACGGCAAGGTAGAAGAATAAATTTCTATACAAAAATTCTTACTTTATTTGGCACAGTACAGAAATGTGCTCTCAGTGTAAATGGATTGCATTCATGTATGTCTTACTCTTGGATTTGTTTTTAAAATGTGTTTTTTCCTCCAAGGGATCGACAAATTGATAAACCAACCTCCCAGGCCACATCTTATTAGGCAGCAAGCTGCCTCCTTTATTATGGGAGTAAACAATATTCAAAAGCTTCAGAAAGACTTAATTTTTTGCCCTTGTATCCTCACCAGAAATTGAATACAGTTTATCTGCCTTGATTTAAGATTGTGACACTGAATTGAACAAGAACGCAGTATGAAAATAGTGTTTTGGATTTGTATATCTTTATAATTTGAGCAGTTTAAAAATAAAAATCAACAAATTCATCTAAATGGCATTCCTACATTATAACTATGAAAAGGACTATCTGTTTACTTGCAAAGGAGCCAAGGGCTTTGAAAACATTCAGTCAGTCTACATCAGGGTTTTAACTTGGGCCTCGTGTAGACGGTCAATCTCTCAAAAGAAGTTTGTATGTACAAAAATATGTTCTAAGGAGTGAATCTATTGAATTCACCAGATACTAAATATGTCTGTGAAAAAGCCATCTGCGGACCATTATGAGTTAAGAATCACTATTCTCTTTATGTGTAAATTTTTATGGTGTCCTGAAAACCAAAGTGTGCATGATTTAAGTTTTTACTCTTTGCAAATCATCCTTTATGTTCAAGATACTATTCTGAGAGAAGAGAGTCATGGGATCAAGTCTATTTAAAAAAAAAAAAAAGAAGAAGAAGAAGAAAAGAAAGAAAGTTCTTTGTTGCTAAGTCTGTATAATACATTCACATCTCCAAGTATAAAATAAATATTAAAGGAGTATCACCTGAGATTTTAGGGGACATCTGTAGATTTTGCCTGATTAACATCCATTCTCTTTTCAGGTAATAATGCTGTAATATCTTTTAAAGAATTACTCTTCCTCACCCAGTATTTGGTCATGTGATACAAATGTGACTGTCCTCAATCCCTGACTAGTATATTCTAGGTGTTTGTCTACAGTGATTGGTTAAATGGCCCGATTTGTTCCCATTAGTCAGCCCTGGAATTTTTTCCTGTTCCGGTGGAACCACTGAGGGAAAGGTGCTGTTTTTCTGCTGGGCTCCACCGGGAGAATGCAAATCCTGTCCTGCAAAATCTGCTGTTGCCCATCCTTGTTGGAAGAAACTGTTAAGAGCGCTGCCAACACAGAGGACTAATTTTGTCTTATCTTAGGATCTGATTTTTGGGAAATCCAAACTAAGATACCCATCAACATTTCAATATTACTTTGTTTTGGATCCATCAACATTATCTTTGTGTCTCCATAAACATTAGAGTCATTTCTATTATATGTCACTTTCATCTATTTGGCTAAGCTAACACTTAACGCACCTTTGTTGTCTTAGTATAGATGGCATTTTTCACAGGAAGATATCACTTATCTCCCAGTCTCAGTGAGATGCTTCTTCTCCTTTGCTACCGTAACACCTTTTCCTTCTGCATAATATCACTTGCTGCAATGTATTACATTGACAATTTAGTTACATAAAATCCAATCCTCACCAGCCAATACACCTGTCCCAATACACCTAACTAGATAGAAAGGTTGGTGAGGGCAAGAATCATATTTTTCAGAATCATATCCTCCCCAGTGCAGGACACATAGAAGGTTCTAATATAATTATTGAAAGAAAAAGTGAATTCAGAATTAACCTGTCTTATGTGGGAACTCCTGCCATTCTCAGTCTCCATCCACATAGCCACAGGGACAGGAGACGGCGGCCATATTTGTACAGCATAACTCCATGCGTGCTCCTGTTGGCAGATACTTGGACCGCAAGGGAGACCCTGACTCACTTATGACCAAATCCCTCCCTTAGAAATCTAGAGTTAGTTTCAAGAGTTTCATCCTTACATAGGCTGATCTCTTGAATGAAAAAGTAAAACCTCTGGCATTATGGCATGGTTGTCATCATCTGAACAGAGTAGCAGTGATAGTTTTTCTGTAGAGAGAAAAGTGAATAAAACATATGAAATGGAATCCCACATCTTGTCCCAGCCCCTTCATGGACTGCAGAAGCACTTCCACCCTTGATATCACTGAGATACTTATGATTTCTTAAAATAAATTCCTCCCAACCTTTTCTTCTTTCAATTATTTTTGTCCTAAATTAGCATTAGTTGATTCCTGTCACATTCAAGATGAAAGACTAAATAAACCAGGACAAAAATTAACCATCTATGACTCCAGTTTGCTTGACTGAACATTTGAATATTTAGAAGTAGCAGTTTAACTGAATTTTCAACTTTCCTCCAGAAAACACTGTATTAGTCTGGGTTCTTCAGATAAACAGAATCAACAGTGTGTATATATATATATATATGTATATATATATACATATATTTTTTTTTTTTTTTGGAGACACAGAAAGATTATAGAGAATTAACTTACACAGTCAGAGAGGCTGAGAAGTCCCAGGATCTGCAGTTGACAAACTGAAGAGAGACAGTGGGATAGATCTAGCTTGAATCTGAAGGCCTAAGAACCAGCGGGGAGGCTGATGGTGTAAAATCCAATCTGAATCTGAGTATGAAGGCAGGAGAAGACTGATATCTCAGCAGGGAAACAGTCATGCACAGAGAGGGATTTCTCACTTACCTGCCTTTTTCTAATCAGGTCTTTCGTGGAATTGAGGAAGACAATTTGCTTTACTCCTCTGCCTATTCAAAATGTTAACCACATCTGAAAACATCACAGACATGCCTAGAATGTTGGACCAAATATCTGGGCACCCCAAGAGCCAGTGAAGCTAACACATAAAATTAACTGTCACAAGTACTTTTTTGTACTTGTACTTTGTACTTTGTTTGTACTTGCCCCCTCCCAGCGGCAACCCTGAAATGGCAAAGAACCCTTATGAATCTTAAGTGGGTAAATCCACAATTTTAACATAGATAATCACGATAAAGATCAATTACCAATTTTGGACATTCACTTCAATAAGGCGTAACTCTTGGGGGAAAAGTTAGTATTTTCAAATTCAGAATTCCTCAAGGACTTGATGATCCATTGACATGCACATCTATAACCATCCTGATTAACATATATTCTGGCCCCAGATGTTCGATTTTACTTTCAACTTTACTTTCCCACATTTGAATAACCATCTAACAGATTACCTTGCACGTAAATTTTATGAATGTTGTTATAATTTGCATGAATAATGTTTTATTTTATTAATAATGAATAATGTGGATTTTATTTTTCAACCTATAACTTTTGCCATAAATTCCTAAATGCAAAAGAAGAAATTAAACAGCTTTTTGAGAAAACTTGCTTTGTGTATAGACTTAATCAAATCACTTATCTTTGCTTTTATCTCCTTGCAAGAGTATATTAAAATAATGCATTATGAGTAAATTTAGGGTGACCTGAAGTTATAGGATTATGAATAAACATACCAGGGCATACTGATAATGAAATCATCTAAAAGACACTGAAAAGTATGATTATATCACTTTTAATATCTTATAATGAAAGTTAAACTATATGACTAATATACCTCTTTTAAAATAATTTTTATATTTATCAAACATATAGATGTACAGATTTAAAAGTCAAATAGATTTTTAAGACTCATGATGAAAATTAGCAGTTTCTTGTCCCTCTCAACATCCCGACAATTCCCGCTCCCAGAGGGATAATCATTGTCAGTTCTTTTTAGGTGATTCTCCCAATGTTCACCTCATTTTTTTTAAGTAGTCTCCACACCCAACATGGAACCCAATGCAGGGCTTGAACTAGTGATCCTAAGATCAAGACCTGAGAGTCTGATACTAACAGACTAAATCACCCAGGCTCCCCTGACGTTACACTCATATTTCTAAATAAAATAGTATGTTTTAAAATTTTATTAGTTTAGTTATTATTGATTATATTGACTATCTACAATAAAATATGAAATTGTAATGGACTTATACCTCCAACACACACTTTCTTCAAATCTTTTTTAAATCAAAAGCTTATATTTTTATTAACAGCTAATCTATATAGAGTATGGCGATTATGTTTTATTTTGATCTCTTTGTTTTTCCTGGAGTTCATAATTAATGTCTTCATCATTTTCTCAGTTTTTAATGAACTATCACTATCTATTCCCAAATCCTTTGCCAGTGTAATACATCAAGTAATGCATCATTACATCCAATAATCAATAATCAGATTATCAGATAATCAAGTCGGTTGTTTTTCCTGCCATGCTGGTGTCCTTGGACCCTTCCATCCTTCTGTTCTATTCTCAACTAATTGCTTTTTATGACTAAAATTTTCTTTTCCTCATGATCCAGAGAATTCCCTTTTGCCCTATATTAGATTCTAGGTTTCCTGAATACTATTTATTCCTTTTTCTCCTTTCCTTTTCTCTTTCCATCCTTCCTTGTTTTGTACTTTTAGAGTATAATTTCATGGAGCTTCCTGGGAAAATGTATATATAAGGTAATTTTTTTGAGATTTCACAAGACTGAAATTCTCCTGATTTTGCCCTAATACGTGATATATGGTTTATGAGGGTATAGAATTCTAGAGTGTAAATTAGTTTTCCTGAATTGTTTTCCTTTTTTTCCTTACATTTTTTCCAGTTTTATTGAGATATAGTTCTATATATCATAATATAAGCTTAAGGAGTACCACGTGATGATTTGATACACTTGTAATGATAACCACAATAAGGTTAGTTAACACCCCCATCACCTCACATATTATCTTTTTTCTACCTGTAGTGTGACTATTTAAGATCTACTGTCTTAGCAACTTTCAGGTGCATAATATAGTATTGGTAACTATAGTCACCATGCTGTACATTAAATCCCCAGAACTTACTCATTTTATTTTTTTTAAGATTTTATTTATTTATTTCAGAGAAAGCAAGAATGAGAGCAACCAGGGGGAACGGCAAAGAGGGGGGCAGAGAAGGGGACTCCCCACTGAGCAGGAATCCCGATACCCAGAACCCTGGGCTCCATCTCAGGACCTTGGGATCATAAGCTGAGCAGAAGGCAGACACTCAACCAATTGAGCCGCCCAGGTGTCCCAGAAATTATTTATCTTATAACTGGAAATTTGTACTCTTTAACCAACATCTTCCCATTTCCCCCTCCTCCAACTCTTGGCAAACACCATTCTACTCTCTGGGATCTATGACTTCAGCTTTTAAAAATTCCACATAAATAATATGTGATATAATTTAGTATTTGTCTTTATCTAATTTATTTCACCTAACATAATACCTTCATCCATGTTGTCACAAATGACAAGATTTCCTTTTTTTCCTCTCATGGCTGAATAATATTCCATTGTTTATAGACATATATTCCATCTTTTTTATCCTTTTTTTTAATATATTGGTTGTTGTGAATAATGCTGCACTGGACACTGAGATCCTAATTTTATTTCCTTTGAAAATATACCCAGAAGTGGGACTGTTGGATCCCTGCTGGTAGTTGCTTTTTAAAAAAAAAAAAAAAGATTTTTTTTTATTTATTTGAAAGAGAGAGAGTGAGAGAGAGCAGGAGAGTGGGGTGAGAGGCAAAGGAAGAAGCAGACTCCCTGCTGAGCAGGGAGTCTGATGCGGGTCTCTGATGCAGAGACTCTGGGATCATGACCTGAGCCAAAGGCAGATGCTTCACTGGGCCACACAGGTGCACCCAAATGGTAGTTCTACTTTTAATTTTTTGAAGGAACCTCCATAGTGTTTTCTATTGTGGTTGTACCAGTTATTAGTCCTATTGACAGTGCAAAAGGATTCCCTTTTCTTTATATTTTCGTCAATGCTTTTGTGAGATGATGGCTTTGATTTACATTTCCTTGATAATTAGTGATGTTGAGAATCTTTCCAAGCACTTGTTGATGATTTGTACATCTTCTTCGGAAAAATGGTGGTTCAGGTCCACTGCACATTTTTTAATTGGATTGTTTGGTTCTTTGCTATTGAGTTATATAAGTTCTTTTTACATGATGGATAATTAACCCTTTATTAGGTAGATGATTTGCAAATATATTTTCACATTCCATAGGTTAGCTTTTCATTTTGTTCATTGTTTCTTTTGCTGTGAAGAAAGCTTTTTAGCTTGATATAGTCTCAGCTTGTTTATTTTTGCTTTTGTTGCCTGTGCTTTTGATGCCAAAAAATTGTCTGGAGGACCAGTTTCAAGGAGGATTTTTCCTATTTTTTCCTCTTAGTATTTTTTTGTTTTCAGGCTTATTTTGAGATCTATAATCCATTTCAAAATAATTTTGTGAATAGGTAAGTAAGACTCCAATTTCATTCTTTTGAATGTGATTGTCCAGTTTTCCCATTACCATTTGTGAGAGAGACTACCCATTCCCTATTGAATAATCTTGACTTTCTTATCAAATATTAGTTGACTTTATATGTAAGGCAATAGTTTCTGGGTTCTTTATTCAGCTTCATTGGTC